GCGACTGGAGTCCCGGCAGCTATGTTCAGCCGGCTGCGATGGGAGGATGGCTTGAGATGGGAGGATGGCTTGAGATGGGAGGATGGCTTGAGATGAGCCCGGAGGCAGAGGATGCAGTGAGCCAAGATGGTGTCATTACACTAGCCAAGATCATGCCACTGCACTCCAGCCTGGGTGACAGAGTAAGACTCTGTCTCAAAAAAAAAAAAAAAAAAAAGGTTGGGGGAGTGGGGAGGGTGGGAATGGAAGTGGGTGAAGGGGATCTGAGGGTACCATGGAAGGCAGTTTGCACTCTCGAAAGTGCAGACCCAGCTCTGCAAGAGCAAGCAGCGGGCGGAGCTGCCCCTGTGGGTGAGGGTGCTGGCAGCAGAACCAGCCCAGCAGGTGTGCTGGCCTAGGCATGCTTCAGACGGGCGGGCTGCTGCAAGGTATGGCAGGAACATAGAGGCCAGGAGTGCCCTGTACCTGGGAAGAGACAGTTGGCCTGTGGGGTGTGGGAGGAGGGATGGAGTGGGGGCAGGTGGTGGCAATGTCTGGGGCTGATTCCTTATGAGCCCATTGCCCTAATTCTTCTTTGGGGATACAGTGGTGACCAATAATACCTTCACTAACATTTGTGGAGCTCTCATTGTGTACCTTGGCTCTGTTCCGGCTGTTCATTTCTTCTTCAACAACAACCTTGGAGTGGGTGCGGTTATCTCAATTTTATTTTTATTTTTATTTATTTTTGTATTTTTTTTTTTTTTTTTTGAGACGGAGTCTCGCTCTGTCGCCCAAGCTGGAGTGCAGTGGCGATCCTGGCTCACTGGCAAGCTCCGCTCCTGGGTTATTCGCATTCTCCTGCCTTAAGCTCCCGCGGTAGCTGAACTAAAGGCGCCCGCCCACTTGCGCCCGGCCTCCATTTTTTTGTATTTTAAGTAGAGACGGGGTTTCCTGACCTTGTGATCCGCCCGCCTCGGCCTCCCAAAGTGCTGGGATTACAGGCGTGAGCCACCGCGCCCGGCTTATTTTTGTATTTTTTTAGTAGAGATGGGATTTCACCGTGTTGGCCAGGATGGTTTCGATCTCCTGACCTCGTGATCCGCCCACCTTGGCAGTGGCTCGCACCTGTGGTCCCAGCTACTCCGGAAGCTGGGCAGAGGATTGCTTGAATCCTGGAAAGTCGAGGCTGCAGGGAGCTCTGATCATGGCACTGCGCCCCAGCCTGGATGACAGAGTGAGGCGCTGTCTCAAAAAAGAAAGATCAAAAAGACTGTGAGCCCTTAACCTTTAGGAATCTGGGCAGAGGGACAGACCTGCCTTCCTGGAGCTGAGGCTCTAGGTCAGAGATACACATTAGTAAAGATGAATAAATAAATGAAATGAACAAGGTGGCTGGGTGCGGTGGCTCATGACTGTAATCCCAGAACTTTGGGAGGCGGAGGTGGGAGGTTCATCTGAAGTCAGGAGTTGGAGACCAGCCTGGCCAACACGGTGAAACCCCGCCTCTACTAAAAATACAAAAATTAGTTGGGCATGGTGGTGCATGCCTGTAATCCCAGCTACTCCGGAGGCTGAGGCAGGAGAATTGCTTGAAGCCAGGAGGTGGAGGTTGCAGAGGTGGAGTTTGCAGTGAGCCCAAATCGCACCACTGTGCTCCAGCCTGGTCAATAGAGAGAGATTATGGCTCAAAAATGTAATAAAATAAAACAAAATAAAATAAAGCAAAGTGATTTCAGATAATGCCAACTGCCATTTGAGATGAAGGACAGATCAGGGAAGGCCTCTCTGAGGAGGTGACCAGTTGACCAGCTGGGAAGGGGTAGGGAGAAGGGTGCTCCAGGCCACCTGGCCCCCAAGTTCAAAAGTCTTGAAGTGTGTGTGGAACTCGGAGGAGCCCGGCAGGCAGAAGAAGAGTGAAGCAGAGAGAGGCACAGAAGTAACAGAAAGAGACAGATCAGGACAGCACATGGCCTTGTCTTTGTGGGGTCTTCACTGAGGACTTGATCACTTACTCTGAGAAACACAGGGAGCCACGGGAGGGTTTGGAGCAGGAGAGAAACATGATCTGAGTTTTGGAGCAGGAGAGAAACATGATCTGAGTTTTGGAGCAGGAGAGAAACATGATCTGAGTTTTGGAGCAGGAGAGAAACGTGATCTGAGTTTTAAGAACTGTGGCCAGGATTGTGGACTGGCAGTTAGGGATGGGACTCCCAATGTCTGTCGAGATCCTGGATCCTGAGTCCCCAGGGTCCCAAGTCGTGGGAAGGAAGTGCAGGGAGGCAGCGGGAGAGGCAGGCTGCTGCGCCTGGGACCCACAGCCGGAAGAGCCTCATTTTCGAGAGAGGTGAGATTGGCGCCTGGGAGGTGTGAAGCAGCCACCTCCCCACCCTGGGGTGCGGTTTCCCCTTTACAGAAGGAGGTCATTTACTGAGCACCTACTGGGTGCCAGGCACAGCCATGTTGGGAGATCTTCAGCGGTCATCCCAGTGGGCACTATTGGAGTTGACTTGGTTCACAGGACTGTGGTGAACCTGGCACCGAAGGGTGAACACCGTCCCACCCTGCATGTCCCATTGGCTTTGTCTTTGAGCAGAGCAGACAGGAAAGATTCTGCCCACCTAGGGAACAGCGGGGGCGGAAGGGCTGGGACCCCCAAGGGGCTACATGGGGGCCTGACCTGGCCTGAGTGCCCCCTGAGTTTCCTCCCACGAGGGCATCCCCGATCCACTCTTATTCTCAGCCTCTGGCTCATCTCTCTTGGGCCGCCCTCACCCCCCCTCTCCCTGCGGCCAGCAGGGCCTGAAGCATCAGGGGCAAAGGGCACAGTCCTGGAGAAGGTCGCAGCAGCGGGACCCAGCCTCCCTTCCTGAATCTCAGGGTGGAAGAGCTGGGACCGTCTGGAAGCTCCTGGGAAGTGGGGGTGGGGTCGTTTCGGGGCCAGCGGGACTGGTTGTTGGAGGAGCAGTGGCCTGGGAGAGGCGTGGGAGAGCACCACAAACAGCAACAAAGAGACACGCAGAGACAAAGAGACACGCAGGCAAGAGACTCTGAGATCCTCCTGAGAGAGATACAGAGGAAGTGAGGGAGACACTCATTCATTATCCGGGCATGGTGGCAAGCGACTGGAGTCCCGGCAGCTATGTTCAGCCGGCTGCGATGGGAGGATGGCTTGAGATGGGAGGATGGCTTGAGATGGGAGGATGGCTTGAGATGGCTTGAGCCGGGGAGGTCGAGACTGCAGTGAGTTATGATGATGCCACTGCACTACACTCTGGGCGACAGAGCGAGATCTCGTCTCAAAAAAAAAAAAAAAGAAAGAAAAGAAAAAAAATTCTTAGGCTGGTGGGGTTTACTGTCTGATAAGGACACAGCCCAGAAACACCATTAATGAGTAAATCACTTTGTCGTCAGCGGTAAGAGTAGGAAAGAATCTGTCGGGGGAACACGGAATCCAGGGGGTGGGGCGGGACAGACCCTCTTTATCTGAGGAGCGGCCAGTTCCCATTACAATCCTGCCCAAGCCTGCCCCACCCCCACTCGCCCTGAGCCGAGGGCGGGAGCGGGAAATTGGGAGGGGCCTGTGCCCGGGAGCAGCGGGGACCTATTTGCTGGTGGGAGAGGACTCGGGCTAAGGTGGCCCCCACTGAATACTCCTGCTAAGCAATCCACTGAAGACCCACCGAAACATCGACGGGACGTCCTTGGCGTGCAGCCCAGGGAGCTCAGTTCACAGGTGGGTGGGCAATGGGGAGGGCGCAGTACCCGGACACCCAGGACAGAGGAGACCCCTCTGCTGGGGATAAGAGGCTCAGGCTGCGACCGCCCTGCTGCAGAACCCTCCCTTTCCCGCCTCTCCGAGTCCTCCCACCGTGATGGAGCGTTCCTGGGAGGACAGCCCAGGCCCGGAGGGGGCAGCTGAGGGCTCGCCTGTGCCAGTCGCCGCCGGGGCGCGCTCCGGTGCCGCGGCGAGTGGCACAGGCTGGCAGTCATGGGCTGAGCGCCCGGGCCCCAAGGGGAGGGGGCAACTGTTGGCGACCGCCGGCCCTTTGCTTCGCTGGCCCGCCCCGTCGCCTGCCAGCTCCAGCCCTGCCCCCGGAGCAGCGTCCGCTCACTCCGCTCAAGGCAGCGCGACTGCGGGGGGCGCACGACCAGGGCTCAGAGTGAGTGGACGGCACTGGACCCTTGGGGGCCCTTGGGGGCCCTTGGGGGCGCGGGGCTGGGCCTGACCTGGAGGGGATCGCCCTGGCGGCCACTTTCCCGGTCTAAAAAGGCGCACCACTCCTTTCAGGGAATTCCCCGAACTTTTTCTGGAGGCCTCTGGGGAGAGGGAAGCTGGGAGCGCCCCAGCTGGGTGCAGAACCTGGGATACGGGGTGAAGGTGGCTGGAATCCTCTGGCCACCCGCTCCTGGCCGGACCACTGCAAGTTTCCATACTTCAGTCCTGCTGCCGGGCAAGCTGGGGCTATGGGGGTGGCCTACCCATCAGAGCATGTGTAACTGTCTCCCTGTATTTGGGCTCCCCACCTCAAGCATGGGTGAGCCAGCGACTTCCTGCCTGTCTGTATTTGCCTGCCTTGATTCTGTGTGTGTAACTGAAGCTCTCTGGGATGTCCACGTCCCTGCTTTGTGCAAAAGAGATCCATTCCCCTCCCCAGGCCTTGGTTTTCTCATTCGGATTTGCATGGGGACTGTTTGTGCATGGATGTTTGTGTGGGAGCATGGAAACCTTTGCGCCTGCTTGGATACGAAGCATTTCTTTTGAGCCTCACTTTTCTCATCTGTAAATTAGGACTAGAGGAAGTGGGGATTAATAAGGGCACAGAGGCAGGTGAGGAATGTTATTATAGTTTAATGACATGTGTGCCCCTCTGTAAGAGTATATTGGTATATAACATATAATATTGGTATATAACAATCACATCAGGTGAACTCAATATTACTATTCTGAGTGAAGAAATTGAGCCCAGAAAAGTATACATGCTATATGTTTCCATCAAAATATGTTCGTTTGTTTTTTGAGATGAGTTTTGCTCTGTCATCCAGGCTGGAGTGCAGTGTCTGCCTCTTGTGGATCCTTTCTTCTGTCCACAGCCTCTACCTTAGTAAAATGAGTGAATAGAATCAACCTTTTTTTTTTTTCTTTTGAGACGGAGTTTCGCTCTTGTTGCCCAGGTTGGAGAACAGGGGTGCGATCATGGCTCACGGCAGCCCCGGCCTCCAAGGCTCAAGTGATCCTCCCACCTCAGTCTCTTGAGTAGCTGGGACTATAGGGGCATAACACTACACCTGGCTAATTTTTAAATTATTTTGTAGAGATGAAGTCTTACTATGTTGCCCAGGCTGGTGTCAAACTCCTGGGCTCAAGTGATCCTCCCACCTCGGCCTCCCAAAGTGCTGGGATTATAGGCGAAAGCCACCGTGCCTGGCCAAGGTGCAACTTTCTTGTGGGGTTTTTGGGTGGATGAGGGGGTTTTGGCAGGCAAAAGCTTTGTGTGCAGTGAGACAAGAGTGTGGAGTGTGGTGCACTGGGCCCCAGGCTAGTGTGAGTGGAGGTTGTGAAATTGTGGCCTGTGCCACTGGGTGGGAGACCTCGTATTTGTGTGACTGAATTTTGGTTGCTGTGTTTTTCTGCCTGTGTCGCTCTGTCCCTGTATGATGTATTTTTTGGTTTCCCTGATGGTGTGTGACTGTGTGTTTTGCCGTTGTAGTGTGTCTCTTTCTGTGTGTGTTGTGTTTGTGTGCATTCTGTGTGTTTCTGGAACTCCCTGCTTTTATGTGTGTGTGTGAGACAGGGTCTTGCTCTGTTGCCCTGGCTGGAGTACAGTGGCACAATCAACACTGACTGCAGCCTTGACCTCTCGGGCTGAAGTGATCCTCCCACCTCAGCTGAGACTCCCACTGAGTAGCTGGGATTACAGGCACACACCACCACACCTGGCTAATTTTTGTATTTTTTTGTAGAAACAGGGTCCTCCTATGTTGCCCAGGCTAATCTCGAACTCCTGGGCCTCAGCCTCCCAAAGTGTTGGAATTACAGAAGTGAGCCACCACACCCAGCCGTGTGTGTGTGTGTATGGGGTGTGTGTGTTTTGAGACAGAGTCTTGCTCTGCCACTCGGGCTGGAGTGCAGTGGTGCAATCTCGGCTCGCTGCAACCTCCGCCTCCTGGGTTCAAACGATTCTCCTGCCTCAGCCTCCCCAGTAGCTGGGACTACAGGCGAGTGCCACCATGCCTGGCTAATTTTTTGTGTTTTTAGTAGAGACAGGGGGGTTTCACCGTGTTAGCCAGGATGGTCTCCATCTCCTGACCTCGTGAGCCGCCCGTCTCGGCCTCCCTGGCGTGAGCCACTGCCTCAGGCTGAGCGTGGCGGGGATTACAGGAGGGGATTACAGGCGTGAGCCACCACGCCCAGCCATGCCTGTGTTATTAATGTGCCTTTTTTTGGTATGTCACCTTGTCCCCTCGTGATATTATTTGTGTGTATGTCTGTCTCCACGGACTCTATCCCTCCATCCTGAACTCCCCTTGGACCCCATGTGTGTGGGGTGACGGTCAGGGGGTAGGGCCCCTTTCCCACGGCTTAGCCGGCCTGACACGGTATGCTGCCTCTCCAACAGCCTTGGGGCGCGCGGCCCATGGAGTCGGGGCTGCTGCGGCCGGCGCCAGTGAGCGAGGTCATCGTCCTGCATTACAACTACACCGGCAAGCTCCGCGGTGCGCGCTACCAGCCCGGTGCGGGCCTGCGCGCCGACGCCGTGGTGTGCCTGGCGGTGTGCGCCTTCATCGTGCTAGAGAATCTGGCCGTGCTGTTGGTGCTTGGACGCCACCCGCGCTTCCACGCGCCCATGTTCCTGCTCCTGGGCAGCCTCACGTTGTCGGATCTGCTGGCAGGCGCCGCCTACGCCGCCAACATCCTACTGTCGGGGCCGCTCACGCTGCGACTGTCGCCCGCGCTCTGGTTCGCACGGGAGGGAGGCGTCTTCGTGGCACTCACCGCGTCGGTGCTGAGCCTCCTGGCCATCGCGCTGGAGCGCAGCCTCACCATGGCGCGCAAGGGGCCCGCACCCGTCTCCAGTCGGGGGCGCACGATGGCGATGGCGGCCGCGGCCTGGGGCGTGTCGCTGCTCCTCGGGCTCCTGCCAGCGCTGGGCTGGAACTGCCTGGGTCGCCTGGACGCCTGCTCCACTGTCCTGCCGCTCTACGCCAAGGCCTACGTGCTTTTCTGCGTGCTCGCCTTCGTGGGCATCCTGGCCGCCATCTGTGCGCTCTACGCGCGCATCTACTGCCAGGTGCGTGCCAACGCGCGGCGCCTGCGGGCGCGGCCCAGGACTGCAGGGACCACCTCGACCCGCGCGCGTCGCAAGCCGCGCTCGCTGGCCTTGCTGCGCACGCTCAGCGTGGTGCTCCTGGCCTTTGTGGCATGTTGGGGCCCACTCTTCCTGCTACTGTTGCTCGACGTGGCGTGCCCGGCGCGAGCCTGTCCTGTACTCCTGCAGGCTGATCCCTTCCTGGGACTGGCCATGGCCAACTCACTTCTGAATCCCATCATCTACACGCTCACCAACCGCGACCTGCGCTACGCGATCCTGCGCCTCGTCTGCTGCGGCCGCCACCCCTGCGGCAGAGGCCTGGGTGGCTCCCAGAAGTCGGGAAGCGCGGCTGAGGCTTCCGGGGGCCTGCGCCGCTGCCTGCCCCCGGGCCTGGATGGGAGCTTCAGCCGCTCGGAGCGCTCGTCGCCCCAGCACGACGGGCGGGACACCAGCGGCATCACAGGCAGCCCTGATGCACCAACAGCCGCCCGGACTCTGGTACCAGAACCTGCTGCAGACTGACATCCTCGGCTCACGACTGTTCTCCCAAGTTTTACACACTTGTTCTTTTTACATAAAGGAATTTGTAGGAAATGCAGCTGAAGGTGCAGTCGGGAAAGATGCAGGGAAATGTATTTATGGAGCGACACCCCACAACAGTGAACAAACAGACAAAAATCTGTGTCCTCGTGGACTTGACGTTCTGCTTGGGATCACAGAAAAGAACTCGGTGATGAAATAATGGAGATGATTCCAGTGACACACGACAGAGATGGCAATGGTGGTCAGGGAAGGCCTCTCTGCGGAGGTAGTGATTTGTGATGTGAGCTGAGGCTTCTGTCCTGGGAAGACCAAAAGAAAAAGCATTTCAGGATGAGGGAATGGCATGCGCAAAGGCCCTGAGGCTGAAATGTGCCCGTGTGTTCTAAGAAAGGCAGGGATGCGGGTGTGCCTGGAGCAGGGATGGAGGGGGAGAATGGGAGGAGACAAGGAGCTGAAGGAGTAGTTCCCGAAGGACCTTGTGGGTGACATGGAGGACTTCGCTTTTGCTCTGAGTGAGGTGGGAGCCATAGAAGGTTCTAAGCTGAGGAGGGACTTGCCCTGATTCAGATAATCACAGGCGTCTTGTGGCCTCCATCACAGGGTGAAAGCCAGAGAAGGTGAGGGGGGCTGCACTGAGCCACAGGAACAGTGATGGAGACTCCAGTGAAGCCCAGACCCGGTGGATTCTAGATAGATTTTGGAGGCAGCAGACAGAATTACTGAGGAATTGAGTGTAAGAGTGGAATAAAGTTGTCAAGGACAATGCCAAGGGCGGGGCATCCCCACATTTGACTCTGGGAGACTCAGCCAAATCCTATCTGATAATAAAATTCCTTTTTTCTTTTTCTTTTCTTTTTTGAGTTGGGATCTTGTGCTTTGTCACCCAGGCTGGAGTTCCATGGGCACGATTATAGCTCACTGCAGCCTGGAACTCCTAGGATCAAGCCTGGAGTTCCTGCTTCAGCCTCCCTAGTAGCTGGGACTACAGGAGTGCACTACCATACCCAGCTAATAAAATTTCTTCAAATGCAGTGTCAGACCCTTCATTAAAAGAAATAATAATAATAGACTGGGTGAAGTGGCTCACACCTCTAACCCCAGCACTTTGGGCGGCCGAGGTGGGCAGATACCTGACGTCGGGAGTTCAAGACCAGCCTTGCCAACATGATGAAACCCCATCTCTACTAAAAATACAAAAATTAGCCAGGTGTGATGGCTCACGCCTATAGTCCCAGCTACTTGGGAGGCTGAGGCAGGAGAATCCCTTGAACCTGGGAGGCGGAGGTTGCAATGAGCTGCACTCCAGCCTGGGCAACAAAGTGAGACTCCGTCTTAAAAAAAAAAAAAAAAGATAACAAAGTAAGGCCAGACACAGTGGTTCATGCCTGCAAATCCCAACATTTTGGGAGGATGAGGCAGGAGGATCAATTGAGGCCGGGAGTTTGAGACCAGCCTGGGCAACATAGTGAGACCCCATTTCTACAAAAATTAGGCAGTTGTGGTTACACATGCCTATAGTCACAGCTACTGGGGAGGCTGAAGGAGGATTTCCAGAACCTAGGAGCTCAGGGCTGCAGTGAGCTATTTTTGCATCACTGCACTCCAGCCTGTATAATGAAATCATGTCTTTTAGGTAAACATAAGAGGTTTTTTGGTTTTTTTTTTTTTTTTTTTTTTTTTTTTTTTTTTTTTTTTTGAGATAGAGTCTTGCTCTGTCACCCAGGCTGGAGTGCAGTGGCATGATCTCGGCTCACTGCAAGCTCTGCCTCCTGGGTTCACGCCATTCTCCTGCCTCAGGCTCCCAAGTAGCTGGGACTACAGGTGCCCGTCACCACACCTGGCTAATTTTTTTTTGTATTTTTAGTAGAGACGGGTTTTCACAGTGTTAGCCAGGATGGTCTTGATCCCCTGACCTCGTGATCCGCCCACCTCGGCCTCCCAAAGTGCTGGAATTACAGGCGTGAGCCACTGCACCCAGCCTTTTTTTTCTTTTTTTCTTTTTTTTTGAGATGGAGTCTCAGTTTGTCACCCAGGCTGGAGTTCAGTGCCACAATCTTGTCTCACTACAACCTCCGACTCCTGGGTTCAAGCGATTCTCCTACTTCAGCCTCCAGAGTAGCTGGAATTACAGGCACCCGCCACCACACCCCGGCTAATTTTTGGTATTTTTAGTAGAGATGGGGTTTCACATATTGATCAGGCTGGTCTTAAACTCCTGACCTTGTGATCCACCCACCTCAGCCTCCCAAAGTGTTGGAATTACAGGCGTGAGCCACTGCGCCCGCCCGTTTTTTGATTTCTTCTTGAGACAGGATCTTGCTCTGTTGCCCAGCCTGAAGTACACTGGCATAATCACAGCTCGCTGCAGCCTCAATCTCCTGAGCTCAAGTGATCCTCTTGCCTCAACCCCTCACCCGAGGAGCTGGGGCTACTGGTGCACCACACCAAACATGTTTTGAATTTTTTTTGAGAGATGATTTCTCACCATGTTACCCAGGCTGGTCTCAAACTCCTGGGCTCAAGCAACCCACCTTGGCCTCCCAAAGTGCTGGGATATAGGCTGGGCACAGTGACTCGCACCTGTAATCCCAGCACTTTGGGAGGCCGAGGCAGGTGGATCTCTAGAGGTCAACATGGTGAAACTCCGCCTCTACTAAAAATACACAAACAAAAAAAATTAGCCAGGCATGGTGCTGCGCACCTGTAGTCCCAGCTACTCGGGAGGCTGAGGAGGGAGAATCACTGGAACCCGGGAGGCTGGAGGTTGCAGTAAGTTGAGATCGCGCCACTGCACTCCAGCCTGGGTAACAGAGCAAGACTCCGTCTCAGAAAACAAAACAACAAAAACGAAGTGCTGGGATACAGGTGTGAGCCTCCACACCCGGCCTAAAATAAGAGTTCATTTTGCCTGGTTAGTTCTCTGCATAGTTCTGGGACACACCTATTTTTCAGCCTTATAGCAACCTTGCAAGGTAGGTTTCCTAATCTGCATTAGACAGATGAGGAAATTCCAGACAGGGAGTACCTTGTCTCAGTGTCTGAGCCAGGACATTAGCCTAAGCTTCAGGCCCCAGGAGGAACCGGCTTGGTATCTGACCCCTCCAGGCGGGTCTGGCAAAGCCAGGCCAACAGCCACTCCCACGGGGGTCTGCATTCGTGGCTGGAACGATGCCAGGGTGCCGTTTGTGCCCATAAAAGGCTCCAGACGTGCTGGCCCCGGCCCCGGTCCCGGGCATGTCCCCAGGCGCATTCTTGATCCCTGAAAGGCTGGATGGGCCCCGGGGCCGGGCTGGGGGGCGTCTGGCTTTGGGTTCAGACTGCAGCGCTCCACCTTCCGGGAAACCTTGGAACTGCAGGCAGCCACAAAAAAACCGATGTTTTGGGGACAGCTATCCCAGACTGGGGGGACCCCGAGTCCCTGCTGGCCACGCTCAGAGTGCCCCTGGAGGCCACACGCACAGGAAACCAACCAGTTGGAACACAGGCACACTCTCTTATGAGTTTTCTACAAAATTTAAAAAGCACCCAGTTCGGCCAGGCGCAGTGGCTCATACCTGTAATCCCAGCACTTTGGGAGGCCGAGGCGGGCGGATCACCTGAGGTCAGGAATTTGAGACCAGTCTGGCCATCATGGGGAAACCCCGTCTCTACTTAAAATACAAAACTAGCCTGGCATGGTGGCGTGCACCCTTAATCCCAGCTACTAGGGAGGCTGAAGCAGGAGAATCACTTGAACCCAGGAGGCAGAGGTTGCAGTGAGCCGAGATCATGCCATTGCTCTTCAGCCTGGGCAAAAAGAGGGAAACTCCATCCCCCCACAAAACAAAAGCGCCCAGTTCCCCTTCCTTGTGGTGATCACAGTGGGACTCCTGGGGACCTTCCAGAGCTAGTCTGTGGATTCGCCTTGCCAAAATGAAATGTAAATACACCTCCTGTCTTTTTGGACAAATTTATCACTGTTCTGCATATTGCTTTGTTGACTTAATAGTATGTCTTGGCTGGGCATGTTGGCTCACGCCTGTAATCCTAGCATTTTGGGGGGCTGAGGCAGGAGGATCTTTTGAGCCCAGCTATTGGGGACGGGCCCACACAACATAGGGAGACTCAGTTTCTAGAAATGATTTAAAAATCACCCTGGTGAGCTGGGCGCGGTGGCTCATGCCTGTAATCCCAGCACTTTGGGAGGTCGAGGCGGGAGGATTACTTGAGGCCAGGAGTTAGAGATCAGCCTAGCCAACACAGTGAAACCCCATCTCTACTAAAAATGCAAAAAAAAAAAAAAAAAAAAAAAAAGCTGGGCGTTGTGGCAGGTGCCTGTAATCCCAGTTACTCAGGAGACTGAGGCATGAGAATTGCTTGAACCTGTGAGGCAGAGGTTGTAGGGAGCCGAGATCATGCCACTGCACTCCAATCTGGGTAGCAGAGCGAGACTCTGTCTTAAGAAAAAAAAAAAAAATCAGCCGGGCATAGTGGCACATGCCTATAGTCCCAGACACTGGGGAAGCTGGAGTAGGAGGATCACCTGAGCCTGGGAGGTCGAGGCTGCAGTGAGCTATGATTGCACAACCGCACTCCAGCCTGGGTGATACCGCAAGACCTGTCACAAAAAAAATAGTATATCTTCTAAAATATTGCACACCCACACATTTTTTTGTTTGTTTTTTGAGATAGGGTCTTGCTGTGTTGCCCAGGCTGGAGTGCATTGACACAATTACGGCCCACTGTAGCCTCCATCTCTTGGGCTGAAGCAATACTCCTCCTGCCTCAGTCTCTTGTGTAGTAGCTGGGACCACATGGTCCACACCACACCTGGCTCACAACCACAATACAGCTCACAACCACACACAGCTAACTTTTTTCTGAGGCTGGTCTCAAACTCCTGAGCTCAAGTGATACACCTGCCTCAGACTCCCAAGTACTGGGATTACAGATATGAGCCGCAGCGCCTGGCAATACCCACACATTTTGTAATGTCTTGCTCTTAGTCAGCTTGGACTGCATAACAAATACCATAGATGGGGTGGCTTAAGTTCCAATAATTACTTTTGCATAGTTCTGAAGGGTAGGAAGTTCAATATCAGAATGCCAGCCTGGGGCCGGACACTGTGGCTCATCCCTGTAATCCCAGCACTTTGGGAGGCCTAGGCAGGTGGATCACCTGAGGTCAGGAGTTTGAGACCAGCCTGGCCAACATGGTGAAACACCTGTCTCTACCAAAAATACAAAAACAAATTAGCTGGGCGTGGTGGCAGGTGCCTGTAATCCCAGCTACTGGGGAGGCTAAGGCAGGAGAAACACTTGAACCCGGAAGGTGGAGGTTGCAGTGAGCTGAGATCACGACATTGCACTCCAGCCTGGGTGACAGAGTAAGACTCGGTCTCAAAAAAAAAAAAAAAAAAAAATGGGCCGAGCGCCGTGGCTTACACCTGTAATCCCAGCACATTGGGAGGCTGAAGCAGGTGGATCACAAGGTCAGGAGTTCGAGACCGGCCTGGCCAACATGGTGAAACCCCGTTGCTACTAAAGATACAAAAAATTACCTGGGTGTGGCGGCGTACATATGTAATCCCAGCTACTTGGGAGGCTGGGGCAGGAGAATTGCTTGAACCTGGGAGGCAGAGGTTGCAGTGAGTGGAGATCGCACCACTGCACTCCAGCCTGGGTGACAGGGCGAGACATCATCTCAAAAAAACAGAATGTCAGCATGGTTGTGTTCTAGCGAGGACTCTCTTCTGAGCTTGCAGACAGCCGCTTTCTCACTGTGTTCCCACATGTTGGGGAAAGAAATGGAGAGCAGGTTGGGCGAGGTAGCTCACGCCTGTAATCCCAACCCTTTGGGAGACCGAG